CACCTCACAGAAAAGACATTAGCGGCTGAAGACAATAATTAGATGTCGTGGAAAATCACATCAAAAATAATAAAAACAAACAAAAAATACACTAGTCTTCGGTTCAACAACCGAGTTCGCGTAGGGCGTGTACATACACGCCGGGGTCCACCACTTCGTTACTCGCGTGTACAGAAAATTACCCGCACCCAACTCACCAGTACTCGCCATTACTCGCAACTTTTTTGTTTTCAAATTACTCGTGAAATCTCCCCATTACTCGTCAATGTTCGCTACTACTCGCAGAACTCCGCAAAAACTCGCCAATGCGCCTTTACTCAATATACACGTATGTGTACACTATAGGTAAGGGAGTGGAGGACCCCTATGACGCCACACACACGTAGGACACTCTGACCGCAGTACTCAAACTGTCCTGCTCTATTGATGGGGCACCTAGTAAATCAACGATCCCAACCCAATCGAAAAGCTTACAATGACGTTAATATTTTTCAGAGCAGTTAAGGCCGCCCACTCAAGGCGATAGTTGAACCACACAACCATACAAGGGTTTCCAAAACTGTTTCTGCTTCATGACGGTTCGGGTTACTTTCTGGTATCGGTCCATTTGATAACAGCGGCACGAAGGGCACATTCCCGCTAGCATTCTGGCCCACCCGATGTACAGAGCGAAGCCTGCGGCGCATGCTTTGTATACGTAGATTAGCCTGCAAGGGATCAATTTTAAAGTTGCAGAGTATATTTTGATGATCTGCATCTGCAAAAGCATCTAAATCCTTTCGCAATTTGAAAAGCGCTTGCAACTGCTTAACCATCCTTTCGCTCCCGCTTGACGTTCTGTTCTCGTTTCCGATTTCTTTGATTTCTGTTTTGCAATTTTGTTGATTCCTTCCTATGTGTTTACTTCCGGACGTTATTGTCATCCCACAAACCAGTCTTTCAGCGGAAGGCCCCTGGTGTCCTCTCCTGTCTTTTACCGAAGAAGAGGATCATTAGACCTTTAGGGTTGAGCGAGTGTCGCGTGGGTGTGGTCGGTAGACCTTCCGGACCTAAGGGTCACATGACGCCCGCCGCAGTCGGCCTCAACGCCCACGATCTCTGTTCGATACCTATTTCTCTTCATCTTTAAT